CTTTCAAATTTCATATATGTGTGTTTTATATATGGTTTTTTCTTTGGTATTTAATGTTGTATTTTGTGTTGTGTACTTCAGCTGAATGGCTTTAGACCATCTCCAACCGACATTCTCAAACTCATTTTGCAGTATCTGTCACATCAAACAGTAATTCTTCTCCAACCGATTAACTCATTCTCAAACTCAAAAGAATATTCTCGGAATATTATCTAATATCAACTTTTACACATTTTTAATACCACCCACATATTTAATAAATTTACAAATTAGACTATATTATCTTATATTCAATTTTTAAGAAAATTATAATAATTTATTATAGATCGACAATTTGTGCACTTACAAAATATTTAAATACATATTTAAAATTAATATTTGTTATTTAACTTCAAAAAATATTTTAAAAGGATCATGTGAAATTATTTCCAATCTCTTATTAGTAAGTTGGTAATTACATTGACTTCCAAAGCAATTCATTTATTAGATTTCATATAAATAAAACAAAATATATAGAAGTTCATCTATAACTATGATGCAGAAATCTACACCTGATACAAATTAATAAGCCAATAAAGTTTCAAACCCAAAATGAATTAAAAATTAATTACCGATGGATTTTTACAACAAAACAAAGGGAAATAATTCATGGCCATTGGTAATATGGGTTATATTGCAATTTAGCAAAGAATATGTGTTGGTGAACAGGAAAAACGCATATATGCGTTTGTGGAGACAAAAATTTTGGAAAAACTCATTTTGAGTTTGGGTTTGAGTCTCGGTGGTCGGTTGGAGCAAATTTATTGTAAAATTTGGGTTTTAAGTATCGGTTGGAGATACTCTTACTCTTGACTTTATATATGTGTTAGACAGAAAAGATAGATGGAACTTAATTCAGACTTGGAACTGTTATACTCTGCCCGTGCAGAGTACGGTGTAAAGCAGAATTATGGTGAATAAATTTGATCTTTTCAATACCCTTGAGGTTTGTGATATTTACAAAAAGAAAAGCAGAGAAATTTCAAATTTTGTCTCAAGAACCCTGTTAATCAGATTTAAGGATCGCCAGGAAAAAAAAAAAGGCCAAAATGTTGTAACAAAGGAGAAATCAAAATATGCCATTTGCATTCATAGATCTTGAACTGAAATAATGGCTTTTCACAATTGGACTACGAGGTCTACACAAAATAAAAATGCTCATACGAGTTGTATAACAATGCTTGCATAGGAATAGGAAACAATGAAAAATAAAATAAAAAGGGGGGTTATTTTGGTAGAGTCAATACCAAATGTGAAAATGTAAAAATTGCAATTTTCCAGGTAAAAAAATATATATATTGCATCTCAAGGAAATATTGATCTCACTTATTTCAACATCAGAGAGAGAGATCATAACAACTCTGCCCAGGGTTCACTAGATAACAACTGACATTATAATGTCATCATAAGTGATGAGACTGTATCACAAGATCACAATTTGAACAAAGAGTAAATGAAATCCTCTACTCAAGTTTTACTTCTCTTTTGGGGGGTTCCAAGTCCAAGTAGTAGAAGGGTTCAACAGGCTCTTCCCTGCATAAAAAAGAATTAACAGTTTATTTCTCAGAAAATAATCGAATTAGAATCGGAAGGAAGTATTGAACCTATGCGTAAAAAATAAAAATGCAAAGACATTAAAATTTTATTTTTATACTAGGTAGAAAATCATTGATCTATTACAAAGCAAAATTTCAAAAAAAAAAAATAAAAAAAATAAGGATGGTTCTCTTCAAGATTCTTTCTATTTTTTTCTTTTCGTTAGAAATCAAGAAGGTTACATATAGTTTTGCAGGATATTGGCAGAGAATGTTGAATAACAAGATAAACCCAAGTAGACGAGAGTAATGTACCCGGGCTTGGAGCGCATGCACCGATAAAATAGCTTGAAAGGACCTGGAACTGTTTTGAAAGGGTTGCCTTCGAAAAATGCCTACAAAATACAAACAGATACACTCAGCATGCAAAACATTGAAAAACAATTTGCTATAATTTGCTTATCTAGATGACCTAAGTCACGAGATATCTTTGTTGGCAAAGATTAGACAGGCCAGCAATCAAAGTATTTTAACTAATAAATAAAACTTAGCAAATAAAAAAAAAAAAATAGTTTCTCAGAATCCTCTAATGCCAAAAACTAGCTTGCTCTATCTGAAATATTCGGTAACTGTAATGATATTGTGAGGAAGTAAGAGTTTCACTAACTGACTGGTTTCAAATTTGATTATTGTGTTTCGGACTTACTAAAGTGCATACATATTAATTGATTGTGCCACTATTTAAGTATTTGCAGATTAAATGAGTAAAATAACATTAAGGGTACCATAAACTCCACGTTACAGCATAAACGGACCACTGCACTGGCTATAGTATAAGTATCCCTTTAGTCATCTCTAATCTCTGAATAATTTCATGAATAAAAATGTGATAATTTGCATTTATATCAAGTATCAAATAGTTACACAGTTCAGCAGAAGCCTAACTATAAGAACTTCACTCTATGAAGAACTTAAAATAAGTTAAAAACACATAAGTAATTGCGCCATCACTCAGCAAACATTCTATTTCTCTTAATATGGTTCACTGCAAATTCACCTCAATCAGCTAATTATTTGATGAAGCAACATTTTTTTCAATCCAAAAGGCTTTATATCAAGCAAAAAGAGGCGGATTGGATTACACAGTGAATAAAGCAAACTAATTTAAGCCACTAAATCACTGTGCACTTCCAAACACAGGTGGAGAAATTCAAACTCAATCATATTACAAACACATTCTAGTTTTCGACATTCACACGATTATTTCAAAAACCGCACCAAACTCTCTATGCCCTGTTCCATCTTTGCCACTAAACGCCAAAAAGATTCAATCTTTAAACAAACACAATAATATCACTCCTCAATCCACTATTCCACTTAAAGACATCAACTTTTTCTTGTAACAACTAATAGGGACCATTTAGAGGAAACTCTCAAGCTGGCTATTCCCATATTCCCACTGCTAATGAAATATCTTTTTCCAGCTAGAATCTCACAGGTGGAGAAACTCAAATCATATTACAAACACATTTTAGTATTCGATCTCACACGACTATTTCAAACCACCGGCTCAAACTCTCTCGAGACCTGTTCCATCTTCACTGCGAAACGCCAAAAAGATTCTATCTTTACAGAAACACAACAATACCACTCTACATAAAGACATCAGTTTTTCTTACAACAACTAACGAGGGCATTTGTCGGTGCACTGATTATGCAGATTCCCATCTGACGAAATTCATTTTCGAGCTAAGAATCTCACCTTGGCCAAATTCTAAGCACAAAATTATGCAGTAAAACGGACCCATAAAACACCGAGATCATTTATTATTATTATTATTACTATTTTTGTGGCTAAAATGATAAATGAAAAATGCTTACATAGATCACATCTTCAGCTCGATCATTGCACCGGTGGGCTTTGGGTTCAGGGTGGTAGCCATCGGACACTCCCCACGGGCTCTCCCTTCTGGGCACGGGCCTTTCACTCATTTTTCTTTCTTCACTTCTTGATGTGTAGGGTTTGAAAATGGGATATCTAGGAAGGGTAACTGCAACTATTGGAGTCAGATTCGTTTTTATACTTACGAGTATAGAAATTATCGGCCCATAAAATTGGACCGGTTTGGATTGTGGGGTAGATGAAGACGAGATTGCAAATTTTTTTCGAAAGAGAGAGAGAATGATGGAAATGAGGACAAACGTGACCTTTGAGATATTTCATTTAATTTTTTATTTATTTTATTTATTGTTAGTATTTTAGTCTTATATTTGTTAGTAAAATTATTTAATTATTCTAATATTTTATTTGGTAGAAAAAATATTTATTTATATTTACTTGTTAAACAAGATTAGAACTTTTTACAAGTTCTATTTAAAGACTTCTATCCTCTTGTGTTTCAATTAGTTGAATTTGAATAATAAAGATATTTGAGAGTTTTTTTCTTGTTTTATCCATTCTATTGTGTTTTCGTTAC